CTGCTTGCAGTACAGCCAGTCTCCCAGTGCACTGGTAAAGGCATTAGCTTCTTCAGATCACCAGAGAATCTCTGGCAGGCTGGAGAAATAGTTCACTAGAAAAAGGTCAGCTTGTAGGTTTGGGAAGTGAGGGTGAAAAAATGTTCTAGACTATTTTAACATTTCATGCTGGCAAGTTTTTCCCTATACAACTGTTTCCTGATGACTTAGAAACTCAAAAACTTTCACTCTGTTGGCTAGGTCACTTTGTCCATCTTTTAAATAGTATGTGACAAACCAATCATGGAACTTTAGCTATAGTTAGACAACTTAAATGATGGATTAAGTGTTCTGTGGCTAGAAGAATCAACAAATCTATGAAGTGGTCTCAGGAGAGTCTAGGTTGTTAATTATGCCACTATTTCCCTCTTCTGGATCTTAAGAAAAGACACCTCGTGGTTGTGGCTCTTTGGCCCAAGAAAGGTCAAGACTGACCACCTGGGCCCCTCTCCCTGCACACTCTTCACTGGCATCAGTCTTAGGTCACTCTCACCAGTGCATGTTCTCTCAAAGTTGTAAATCAGAAAGCACACAGTCCAGAAAGTTTATTGCCATCTATTAAAAAAAAAAAATCAAAGCTCTAATGATCTAAAGAGAGATGTGAAATGAGGAGAAAAGCAGAAAAGGTAAACAGTTGGTTTAAGGCTAAGCTAGTCCTATTATTTATGTATGCAAATGATACGGCAGTAATAAGACTTTAAACCTGCTGATCATCTCAACAATAAATCAGAGATATACAGAACATCGTGGGTTTAGGGAAGGGAAAAGAATATGTCCAGTAGACTGACCCTGGCAATGATCAGGGAACCCAAAGGCTCAGGTTTTGCACCCAGGGGCAAGCGCAGTGGCAGAGAAGCATGCTTGCATTCTTAAATATATAAATATATATATATATATATCTCCACAAGGAAAAAGGAACTAAAAATTAAACAAATTATATTAAAAAAAAAACAAAAACAAAAACCAAACCAAAGAAACAGAAAAAAAAAGGCTGGCTTGTCAGGGGATGGGGTCGAGAAGGCCCCAGTGTGTGTACTTACATAGAGGTCAGCACCGTAAAATCCGTCCTGGTAAACCACACTGCAGAAAATCCACACAAAAACAAAAACAAAAAAACAAAAGAACAGAAACACATTCCGGTTATTGAGGACGGCAGCATGCACATGCGCTCTACACAGGCAGGTGATGTATGAATACGTAACTGGGCTTGGGCCATGGCAAATCAGTGAGAAAAACAGAAAGTGCACACGCTCATCATACAGCTCCAGGAAGCGAGGGGAGACAAAGGCATGCCAGCTGGAATGAGCTACTGGTTGCGGGATACCAGTAAGCAGCACTCTCAGGACAGCTTGCTGTAGCTATTCAAATTCCCTGGATTGGAACCATCAATCTTTTGTACCTGCAGTATTTTTTAAAATAAGTTTGCCCTAGGAGAAAGTTTTTCTTTAAAGGGCTTACAAAGGGGGATAGGAGTGAAGAGGGGTTTAACATGAAAAAAGTGAACCCAAAGAATTCCATCAGGGAATGTTTCAAAATTATGTTTAGTATTTTGTTTTCAGTTCTGTAGTAAAATATAATTTTTTTTCTGCTATCCATACATCACCTGCTTTTTACCCTGCACATTAGACATGCGATAAGATTTGGCTGATCACACAAGCATGCAAAGTATTATTATTCAGCATTTTTAAGAACCAATGCAACACCTCAGAAAAACAAGTCAATCAATTCTGACCAAAGTAAACAGAGAAATGTAATTAAAAAAAAAAGAAAAAAGAAAAAACAACCAAAAATACCCACAATGCATTGCTTTCACAAGCAGAGATAATGAGCTAAAGGTTAAGGTGATTGGTCCAAGGTCCAAGAATTGAAAGGTGCAGTGGGGATCCCAGATAGTAACAATATAATCCAGAGTGGGAAGGAGTAACTGGAAGATTTTAAGGGTTCCTTTTTGACCATAAAAATATGCATGGAGTTCTGAAAAATATAACTGGGTATGACCAAGGATCATCCTGTCTTATTTAAAAGAAAAAACTGAGACAGTGGCTAGTTAGGAATAGAAGGGGCTATTTTCCTGTTTAGATAATGAATTTGAATCAAACAAATTTCCTTTTTTCTTAAAAAAACAAAACAAAAGACCCTGGAGCAACACTACATTATTATTCTGAATTGTAGATTTCCATTCTTTTAAGGTTTTTTTGCATATACAGACTTCCCCAAAAACATTATTTTGGGACCAAAAGGCATGAAACAGCAGTAGAGATAAAAGATATTTTTCTTCATATTTGTTAAATCAAGATTTGGCTGTTTAAATTAGACGATCTGATTTTTTGTTTGTTTATTCAATTAAATAAGATGGGAATTTGTGGTGTTTTTTTTTTGGGGGGGGGGAATACCAGGATTGAACCCAGGAGCATTCTTGGGCACGTTCCCAGCTCCATTTTGTATTTTATTTGAGACAGGGTCTCATTGAGTTGCTTAGCATTTCACTTTTGCTGAGGCTGGCTTTGAACTCATGATCCTCCTGTCTCGGCCTCCTGAGTGCTGGGATTACATGTATGTGTCACCGCTCCGGGAGAAATGGGAATTTTTACTACTATTTTCTGCTGCAATGAACAAGCTGGCAGGTAGGGGCATGAAATCATATTTTTAATTTAAAGATGAAGTGACCTATTTCTTGTAGGTGGCTGAAAAGTGTCTTGACTTTCATTTCCAATGACCTTTTGTTGCCTTTACAGGGCACTGTGGTCACACTCTGCAGTGTCCCAGATAAGTTATGCCTTTGTACTATATAAAAGGCAAACCACACTCTTCTCTGATGGTCATTTACCCAACTCCTTTCTGTTTTCATAGTCTTCAGCTGCAGTTAAGGCTCATATTAGAGAGTCATCTGCCTCTCCATTACATTTTAGTAAGAAAGACTTGTCTCTTAATGAAAGCTGATAAAATGGAATGCACTGAAGTCAAGTGCTGACTAGTTAACCTTCAGCAATTTCAGGAAGGGGATATAGGCAAAGATTAAAAACATTCCTTCTAGAGGAGAGTATTGACAATAAAAACAAAATATATTTTGCCCTGCATCAAATGCCTTAATGGGAATATTCACCTAAATTCTGGAAGGATTCCAATATTCCCTGTATCAAATGCCATAAGGAGGCGAGAACACAATGATTAATGATGGAGTTAGTTTTCTAAGCTGAAAAGCAATTCTAGGCCATTCCCCATAAAATACTGGACTTATTCCTTGCCATCTTCCATGTAAACAGGTGGTTTAGTTAATAAAAAAGAAAACATGGGAAATTAGTGTTCAATGTAATGCACAGAAATTGAGGTGATTAGACATAAAAGATAAAAATACCTTTGATCAAATATATACCTGACATGGACTTGGTACAGAATGGGCTCTCAAGTTTGGCCAATATACTGAAATGACCTACATTGAACAGTAATGAATTCCAACCACTTAATAAAGGAACTCAGGAAGGTTACAAAATAAAAAAATCCCATGTTTCTCTGAGTAGTCTCTCTTTGCAAACGTGACAATAAACATTTTTGAATTGAAATGGAAGGCACTTCATGGACAAATTTTCCTAGTGTGCAAAACGTTCAAAAAACTTATTTTATGTTTCATTTGCATGTTTCTTGATGAAACAATACTGTATCATTATTCACTTCTTTAAAGAGATGTCAGAGGTTGAAGGTCAAAGGTCAAGTTGCGAGAAAAAAGGATAAAATTAAAAGTCATGGCAGAAGATGGAGATGATGGAATGCATGGGATTTAAACATCTATAGGTTGCAAACAAAAGTTAATTTCTGTAGCAGTTCCCTTCCAGTGTTTTTTGGAGCCTGCCCACTTCAACATGCATACTTGCCTGGTCTAATAAAAGTGCTTTAATTCTGTGGCATGGAGGACTCCTAATGGTATGTCCATTTGGTCTATGAATGAATGAATGTTAAATTAGTACACCTCCCRGTGAAGCCAATTTTGCTATCAGAAAGGACATATAAAGGAGGCTCTTTCCCTTTACATTTTAACTAAGTAGCGGCTAACTGGCTTCTCTGCCACTAGTTATTTCTCCATAAGAATACAGAAAAAACCTGTCACAGGCAGAGAAAAGATGAAGAAGAGAAATGTCACATCTTTGAAGAGAGAAAGTCCTTGGTACAACTAACTTATAAAAAGTCCACTCTTTATATATATAAAAATATACATTTTAGGCTGACACAGAGAAACAACTAAAAACAAACCTACCATCTTCACTCCTTCTCCCCATTCAATAGCAAAGGATTTATTTGTTGCTATGGAATCATTCCACTGCATGAGGCACCCTCCATACAAAACCAAAGGGTGAAGGGTGCTCAGCTGCAGCAGCTGTTTTACATCCTTCAGAAGCCAACTGCAGTTCAATCCTCCTACTTCTCCCTTCCTCCCTTGATTCAATTGGACTTGGTTCATCTTTGAATTAACCTCTTTTAATCCATTTCCTACAAAGAAAGCAAATCCATTGTGGGTAACTAGCTCTGCTGCTCACCACCCAGGCAGTGAAATCATGGGGAGGCACATGTGCCAGCCTCTGCTCCAACAGGGTGGTGTACCCAGCAGAGGTGGTCTGGACTACGACCCCCAGCTCCTCTCTTGTTCTCTGCAGTAGTGTTAATCCACACTCGTGCGCTGCTGTGTGAGCTCCATGCCAACACACTGCTAGTAAACAGACGGTTCCGGCTACTGTCTTAAGCTCTTACCATGAAGGCTTAAGGTGGCCCAAATAAGATTTATATAACAAATTGACATTTTGTTACATTCTGATGATGGTACATTTTGGTTTCCATCTAATCCATTAATTTGAAAATATTCAGACTAAGTGGCACGGTAATGTCCCAGAAGTTATGAGAGGGCCATGGTATTCCTTATTTGTCCAATTGCTTATTTCAGAAACACACTGACTTTGGAATCTAATGCTTACCCTGGATAGGCGGGGATGGCTGTTGGAGGTACCGCTCGGACTGCACCATATACTGTCCGCCCTCTGCCCCTCAGATGGGCTCCTCTGAAAGCGGCTGCCGTGGTGGCTGCAGTTGGGTAAGGGAAGCCAGGAACTAAAGGGAGACCCAAAATATGACAGAAATTTCAACTTACATTCAATAGTAGGTATATAGTCACAATGTGCTGTAAACCAGTTATAGAAAAGCTGACAAGATAGGTAGCACATCCTTCCTGAAAAGATGGCACACATATTATTCCACCCATCTCCCACCCGGGATCTCTGAGCAGGAAAGAAATGACAACATGTATAAGTGAATGATTTCATGCCTTACTCTTCCCAGCCCTTGAGCGATTTACTCTGTTCCTTCCCAATTTTGCCATTACACCATGAGCTGGTGAGATATGGGCCAAGGAGCTCTGAGAACTACTGCCCTAAGACTTCTAACTTCTGTGGGCAGTGCAAATCAGACTGACAGAAACTCTTTAGTTGGCCAGTTATTAACCTTGTTTCCAAATATTACTATGTGGATATAATAATGATTTCTCAAAAGAATGTTAATGTTATTTTTGTATTTTTACATGTTGTCAGCCTCCAATGCATATAGTAGACTTTAGACATTTCCTTCATCAATTTCATCCCTTTATCTAACATGTTGTAATCCAGCAATGAAGGTGAGAGGGAATCCACTCCTCCCCCGCTGCCCTGTATCCTCTCAAGAGGTGGATGTTCATACAGGCCTATTTTAAACTGCTATCCTTTGAAAAGCAGATATGTGGCTTCCGCATCCACTGAATCCTGTTTAATTGTACCTCTGCTAGAGGACAGTCTTGGGTAGAAGGGGTTCTAGGGACTTCAAGAGAGCTGGAATGTCAGTGATGTTGGAGGTGCTCTGAAGTGAACCTCCCCTGGAGAGCAGGGCAGACTATTGGAGGCATGGAGAACAACCTCCACACCACACATGGCTTTTGTTTTCTTTGTCATCAAGTACAGACTAGAATATTCTTCACATGCCTTTACCCCCTCTACCTTATCCAGCTGTTTTTGTTTTGTGGCAATCTTAATATGTGGTCAGGAAGATTCCAGCATACGTTGAACAGAACAGGGCATTGTGATTGTACTTATTACCCCTCTTGAGAACACTTCTCTTTCAGTTATGTATTATAGTAGGATAAACAAAACAAAATAAACAAACCAAACAAGCATATCACTGTTCAGTCACAACAGTTACAATCATGCCAGGCCAACATAGGCTACTTACTGATTAAAGGAATGTAAGTGTTGATACCCCCTCTTCCTGACAGGGGCACTGCCGCATCATTGCCGAGGGACACATCTGCTTGAAAGCTGGATGCTGACGGCATTTAAAAGAATTTTTTTTTAAAAGCAAGAAGATTACAAAGGAACAGCACATTGAAAATCCACAGATGATGCTACAGTTAAATAGCACGTGAGGAAACATTATAATGTCAATTCTACCTGCATATAACTCAGGGCCGTACACAGCTCCAACTACTGGGCTTAATTTCCAACCTGAAATGAAAAAAAGAGCAGTGAGCTTTAACCTACGTGAGGAAAAGGAGTGATTAATTCATGTCAGTTGGCTTTGGACGTCTCTGGGCTCATCTGTGCCTATAATTAACTCCTTCAGAACCTAGCTACCTGTGGGTCTACCTGAGAGCAGGGTGGTACTCTTTAAGCAGGACTAGCACAGCTAAAGGGATAATGAGGGGTTGCAGGGATGGAGACAGGGCATTGGGGAGAGAGAGGAAGAGAAAGAAATTAGGAAGGAGGGAGGGAGATGAAAAGGGAGAGAGGATAAAGGGGGAGAAATAACCCCTGGGTTTTGGTGGGTGCTTTCACAGCACCACCTGGGTGACCTACTCTTGGTTTAGGAAAAGGAAAGAAGGCAGAACACGAGCTATTCTGCACTACTTGGTGATGTGCATTCTTTAACACTGTTTACTACTATGTCTCTTTATAAAGGTATCCTCTGAGTGAATTCAAATTTGACCTGGATTTTTGATCCCATGTTCAATTATACCATACTGGTTTTCTGAGGAAACTGAAATTCCCTTTCATCAGGATTCACTGTTGGGATTTTACTGGAGTTCGCTAAGTAAAAGAGGAAAGTCATGAAATAATAAAATTCAAGGTACATTCCCAACTTCTCTGTGTGGCTTCTGAGGTCTTTATTTATAATGAACATATTTAAGTCAATCACACCAAGAACACCACCAGACTGCTACTGACTGTGAGCTTCAACATTTATAAATGTTTTGTTTCCAAAGAATATTGTTTCATGTCAATTTTATTTCTTTTGCCTCTTTTACATTTACAAGAACATAGCAAGGACTAAAAACATAAAATGATATTACTGCCCACTGACAGTGAATGAGTACATTCCATGTGAAAACCTTAATAAATATTTATTGAATTTTGTACTTGATAAGMAATGATATCCTATTATTTTTCTGAAAGGCTGGCTCTTCTATTAATTTCTTTCCTAGCACTGTGCCACTGCTACCCTTAACATATATGAATGAAGAGGATAAAAGGTCAATTCTAATGGTCTTAACAGATCTTTTTATTGAACATTTTTTTGAATCTATTTTTTTTAGTTGTTGATAGACTTTTATTTTATTCAGTTATATGAGGTGCTAAGAATTGAACCCAGTGCCTCACACATGCCAGGCAAGTACTCTACTGCTGAAACACAACCCCAGCCCCTGACCTTAACAGATCTTAACAGCTATAAGCAAAACTATAAGTAAAGAGAAAATCCACTACTTCTCAATCACTCCAGCCTCCCATTCTGATGAAGTGCTGATTTGTGTGCTATGATGATAGCCCCATGAGTCCATGTGAAATCTGGGTGAAACCCAGATTCAAATGCTACTTGAATTTTAAGAGCATGTATGATCTGCACTGTCAAAGTTTATAAGTTGCACAGCCACTGAGCAATGTTTCTGCACAAATTAAGTAATTTAAACCAACACAAGTGAAACTGTTCCTTGAGAATTCACTCAGCACACTCTTCTTAGGGCCTTAAGCAGAAGTTTTCTTGAACTTAGGCTTGAATATTAAATTAGAATTACATCTAAAGGATGAAATTTTCTTTCCTACTAATGACACTATTTCCTGAGATTTCCTTTATGTCCATAAAATGGGTGGAGGTTGATATGTTGCTAATAATACTTTAGGTATGTTTAGTTTTGTACAATTTACAGTGTATTTTCACAGAAGACACGTGACCTTCACAAAATCCAAATAGGAATATAAGTACCACATGTGACCTTGGGTAAGTACTCTACTTGTCTGGCCTTATTTCCTAAATAATAAGCTTAGAGAATTGGCTTTTGATGTTTTCTAAAGCATCTTCTAAAATTCTGTGGATGCCAATATATAGATGTAAAAATAGAATCAGGTTAAGAAACTGACCCATTGTCATAGAGTGATATGTAGAGGTAAATTCAGAAGTAAAATTTCTGTCTTCTCAAATTCCATGAGGGGCTATTTTCTGTCACATCATTTTCTCTGGATCTAAAGGAAATTTGACATGCTCTGCCTCTCTTTCCTATTTTGCTTACATTGGGTTTTTACCAAAATTGCACAAACCTRTTTTTGTAATAACCATGAAAATAAGAAAACTAGAGGTTAAATGGGAGGCAGTGATATGCCTCAGATAATACCACTGATAAATGGGTAAAGAAAATGGAAATTATGTGGATAAATTTGTATTTGTTGTAAAAAAACTGGGTTCGATATATCTAGTAAAGACTGTAGGGGATATATATAGTCAATATTTCTACCTGACTTAAGGTTTTACTAGCACCTAAGGTCATGCTCTAGAACACAAGACTCCAACTTTCTTAAAAACCAGCAAAAACCTTCCCTTTTATTCAACATAATATATAAAAAAAATACAACAGAGAATGAGCAATCTCTTAGGTCGAAGCAGAGCTGGAGGACTGGAGGACAGGTCAGTGGTAAGATGCCTGCTTGGTACACATGAGGTCCTGGGTTTGACCCCACGTAACACCAGAAAAATGAAAAAGCAGAACTGTAGACCTCAGGATCCAGGAGCCAACCCATTTGATTTTATCTTTATTGTCCCCCAGTCTGACTCTGTAGGACAGTTTGCAAAACCATGTGGTATTATAGATTAAAATTATATTGCATCCCATTTAGAGAACAGGAATCTATATTAAATTTGAAAACTGACATGAAACTTTTGTTTTTATTAGAATAATTATTCATAGAAAATTTCCTTCTCAATGAGAAATATTTATAAAGTTTACTATATAGCTTGTAATCATGGGATAGAAAATGGCACATCTCCCTAACTAGGGAGGTTACTGCTAGGCCCTAGGGAAGCAGGGGTCTAGAAATACAAGTGATTAAATACACTACCCTTTCAGCTTACCCCACTCAAGCTCATCTAAGAAGAAAGCATCTGAGGGCTTCAGGCCTTTATTGACAAGTCTAACATATCACAGAGAACTCCAGTGGCTGAAAGAGGGTGCTTCAGGGAACCTCAACTGAGTTAACAGGCAATCGCAAATGGCATGTTTTTACAAGATGAACATTACTGAGAAGAAAACACCTTAGTAAACCAAAAGCTTAGCTAATACTAAGGAAAAAGTTAATGTGTAAAGATTAATGTAAGTTAAATGCACTGTCTTAAGACTAAAATATAGGATTATTAAAAAGTTCATATATTCATGCAAAAATAAACAACATCCTTCAAAAAATAATTTTTAGTTTCTTACCATTTGCATATGGTGTGACCATTTTCTTATTAGTCATTACACGTGCTGTAGCATTATTCACCTAAAAATGCAAGCAAAAAGAAGGGGCAGGGAGGAAGTGCCCACATTAGGGAACTTGAAATTGCTCATCCAATAGCACAGTACTTAATTCAAAATGTAAATAAACTTGATAGCATTAATTTAGATGAATAATATAGCCATATAATATTAATATATAGAATTTTAATAAGTGCTTATTAAATGAGGGTAACAAGAGTAAAATGCAGTTTCTTAGTCTCCACGTGGAAAACTGAGGTTACTATATTAGTACTCCAAAGAAAAAATACATTTTAAATTCTTGGGAGATCCTTAAACAGTAGTTTCTCCATTAAGGAAAACATGGGAAAAAACAGGGAACAACTGTATGTACAAATAAACTCTGAAGTTGATTAATAAAATGGAGGCTTGCCACCTGGTTCATGAAGTAGATTTATAGGGAGATTATAAACTGGATCTATTGATTTCACTTGTCTTAACGTTCTGCATTTTTTTGATGTTTGTTTAAGATTTTACTGTCAGAAGATAGTAAAAAAAAYATAGGAACTTAAATGTCCATGTGGGCAGTCTTCAGGGCCATCTGAATTTTCTAGACTACATGGTCTATTCATTTAAGAATGAAGTTTTCAGAAGGCCTTTAAAGTCAGCACTTTCAAGAATTGTGAAAATAAAGTGTTCACTGCTTTTCTTTTATGGTACCCTCTATCTTCATTACAGAACTGTATCATTTCAATGAAGCACTCTTAGTGCCAAGACAAGTAGATGTCACAAGGATGGTGCTGCTGGAGAGATGAATGAACTTAGCTGCAAGAGACCGGGGTCAGGATCAACCTGAAAGCTCTTGCAAGGAGGGTCAAGCCTCACCACAGAACTTAATTAAATGACTGTCAGGTCATGCCAATTTTAATAGGAATTATAAATGTAAGCATGTCTTATTTTGTCTGTGGACTGTACATTGTGTTAAATTTGTGTTACAAAAAGGCCAATTTTAGGTAGAATTGGAATTTTTAAAAATCCTAATGTGTCATATGATTTATACAGTAATCCAACTGCAGTTACTCTAGTTTGACCCCCGGATAATAGAAACATTTCACATTTACAAAGAAAGAATGGGAGACAACAATGATGAGACTGAATGCATGCAGTTAACACACACACACACAAATAATACAAAGAAAGAAAAAAAAATCAGTCTGGGGAAGAAGGGAGGAAAGGGAGAGCAGGGTTAAATGAGCAGGAGCTTGCACCAGCTGCTAGAGCGGAATGCAACCAAGCACTGAAATGAAAAGTGGCTAGAACCAGTCAGAAACCACCAGTCAGCAAAAGAATCAAGAGCTCTGTGGAGCAGAGAAGGGAGGGGTAGGAAGAATTAAGGAGAATTTGGGTAAAGAGAACAATGAGGTAGGGAAAAAGAAAAGAGAAAGTCAGGAAGGGTGTCCCAGGAAGGAAAAGAGCAGTCAAGGGCAAAGAAAGAGTTACACAGTCAGAGCCCCAAACAGTGGTTTGGGAAAGAGGAAAAGTAGAAAGGAAGTAGGGGCAGGAAGTGCATTAATAAAACCAGCCAAACTGGAGTTCAGTGACTCTGAGTAAGATGTGCAAGGGGAAAAATCACCATGAAGTCAGTAACCAAACAGCTCGGACAGCTACAAAACAATATGTACATCCAAAGTCCAGGCGGCATTACTCAACAGCAGTGAAAATAAAAGAGGGAAAGGAAAGGAAGGGGAACAAGTCAAATCACATTTTGTAGTGTTAATGTGAGATGGCAGATGGACTTTTTATTTCTTAATTGTTTTGTAATTACATTTTTAAAAGCTTCTTCTCTAGTGCTTGTTTCACTTACCGCCAACGGGCACCATCGCCAGCATTGTGTATAGTTACCATGGAAAGAGTGAGTCAAGTGAAGGGCCCTAAATGCTAAACCATTGGAAAGGGGGGGAAAAAAGCAAATATGCAGACATCTTACTCAAATGGTGGCTTTTATATTTAGTACTTTAAAAATTGGGAAAGGGGAAAGGAGCCAGTTAACCTTCAATGCGTTATAATGAAGGGCTGGGGAGCCTGGTGGTTGATGCAAGCCAACCACAGTGCGTCAGCCAGCCAGCAAACCCTCCTTTGAGGATGTTATTCGCAAAACGTAAGAATCAACTGTTGAAATTCTTGATATTAAATATATTTAAAACTACATGAGTTTTGGGTTCTCTCCTCCCTCCCCACAGCCTCTAAAATCTTCTATTCTGGGTTAATTGCACACACATGGAGGCAAACTGGCCTCCCAAGAGAAAAAAAGATATTGGCTGGCCCCTTGATTCATCACAGACCCCCGTTATAAATTGGATAGTTCTTAGATATCTTTAAAGTTAGTTTGTTTAGGCCTGATTGTGGAGTACTGCAAACTGAAGCAAAGGAAAAAAAAAAAAATCAAGAGAGCAGAAGGATGAACATTTCGGAGAAAGAAAAAAAAAAAGTGAAACACACACACACACACACACACACACACACATATCAAAAGCAAAACCCCAAACAACCAAAAAAAAAAAAAAAAAAGCGGGGGTGGCAGAGGCAGACAGAAAGTGTTATTTTTATACATTTTAGTGCAAGGAGGTGAAGAGCACAGAAAACACACATACACGTGGGCATATGCGCACACACACACACACACACACACACACACACACACTCACACACACACACACACACAAAACAAACAAGACAGGGTTCCAAATGTGAAATAAGTGAGGCAATACAAAAAGAGAGAAGTAAAAATAGAAACCAGAAATTGAATTATTGAAGACATGCACCTCGATTTTACGGCCCTCTACCACGGTGCCGTGTAATTTCTCCCTGGCCCTGTCTGCATCAGCACTATTCTCGAAAGTTACGAACCCGAATCCCTGCATGCAGCGGGAGAAGGGGGAAAACATGCACATCGTTATATTGAAATACTGATCTCATGGTAAACAGAGAAAAAATATCACAGTATGAAACCGACATCAGCAACAACTCAGCAATACTCTCCCAGAGTCACATTATTTTTTTTGGTCCATGCACATTTTGTAAAGAGAAATTAAACCCAATAAAAGAATAAATAACTACAATAACAATGGTAATTTAATTAACATTAATAACAATAATAAAATATAAAGCATATGAGGCCAGACCAAAATTAAGGTATAGAGTTACTCGGTCATGCAATTCAACCAAGAATCTGAGCATTTTTTAATGTTCTACCTTTCTCCCTCAACTCATGCTGCTAGTGTACATGTCCCCTATGTATTTTTTACAAAAATTAAGTTGATTCTCTAATATCCCAAATCCATCATTCTCCAGTAACGGCTATACGAAATCTGACATTCAAGATTAATCATTGTATGAGATTTTTTAGGAGGTCTAAGTGTCTAAGCCCCATACTGCCTGTTACTTATACCACTATGAATGCCTTTGGGAACAGAATAATTTAAGATAAAGTCTTGAGGTAGAATTTTATAGATATTAGGTGCAGAAGAGGAGAGTACTCATGCTCTTCTCAGCAAATGAAAATATCACTAAGCAATGGTCAATTATGATTTTTCTTCATTGCCAATTTTAAATGGTTGAATAGGCACTTTATATAAAACTATATCCAGTTGAATTTCAGAAAGTTTCTAACACAAATTTGCCTAAATAACACATCTGTTGATATCTATACCTGCTATTAAGCATATTAGAAATTTTCCACATGTAGAGAAAAAAGAAATAGTCAATGGGAATGAGATCTCATTAGTAACATCAGATATGTTATATTCAGAATATTCAATATTCAATTACACTCAGTAGGAAAAGAACAACCTAAGACAACAACATGACTGCTGCTATGAGTTTAGGATTAACTTATTTGTCCCTTGAGATGCTACAAAATAGGAGCACACCCTTACTTAGTGAGGTAGACAAATCAGGAGAATAGGGAGAGAAGTCCTCTCCTCTGTGCACACCATTGTGCTCTTCATTTCAACACCAGCAGGATCTGCTAGACACCTACATGATGACTATGCCAGCATCACATCACCTTTAACTCTAGGTGCTTTGTCCTCATCTTTCCATTCTGCAAATACAATTTTCTAAATAATCTCTCAAGCCATTTACATGTGTAGAGTAGAAAATCATTAGGATTTTTCTGGAAAGCATCATTCCAATAGCTTCAGTGTCCTATTTTTTTTTTATTTTTTTAATATTCCATTGTGGGATAACTGAAAGCCCTTTAGTTTTACTGAGGTTCTGCCTTGCTGAGCATTCTTTTATACACGAAACATGGTCTTCACTAAGGTGGTAAACAGTATGTGTTGCACCTTTTAAAAATGATTTTACAGGGGCTGGGGCTGTGGTTTAGCGAGAGTGCACTTGCCTGGCATGTGTGAGGCACTGGGTCTGATTCTCAGCACCGCAAATAAATAAATAAATGTTTATCAACAACTAAAAATATATTTAAAAAAATGATTTTACAGAAGCAACTCCATTTTGAAAGATCTGTCTACTAAGTATTCTAAATGTTATTATGGATGGTGGCATTTATATAAATTTGTTGGAAATACCAGTGAGAACATATTTTCAGAAACAAAATTTTGAGAAACATGTGTTATAGCCTTATATATTCTAGGGCAAGTTAGTATTTAAGGTCCCAGTGGTCAACTATATTAGCATCTGCTGATTAAAAAAAAAAAAAAAAACCCCAGCTCTCCAATCCCAGAGAACCCTTCAGTAGGGAAGGTAAGCCCTTTAAGAAAGGTCATGGATGGGGATGTATTTTTTATATTATACTCAGAAAGCATTATAATTTGTATTCCAACTCATTCTTGCAGTCATAAAAGTTAATACTTGATTTAAATTAATAAATTACAAATAGGTAAGTTACTATGAGTTTATGTGGAGACCAACACCTAGGTGTTTAACACTGTAATTGTCTACATATATCAGATACACACATAAAGACCATACATACTTCATTTTGAAGGTAAAGAAGCTGAGTCAAAATGAGATGAAGTACCCAAGAATATACAGCTATTGTGAGGAAATCAGAAGTTAAGCTTTGCAAATCTAAATGCAAAATTCTATTTACTAAGTTACACTGGTCTGAAAACACCCCTCCCACCCACCTAATCTAACCGTGGAATGTCTTCTATAATCTTCCTTTCTGGAATGTGTTGATGAAAGGAACATCAGCAACACAGTAATTGCACCCGAAAGAATGGAGGATGATATTTGGTCAGCAAATGACCAACTTTAACATTAATGTCTGTTTATGTAAGGTTTTCTCAATAATTATTTTATTCAAGAACCAAATTGCCTTTTCAAATGTCTTTAAAAGTGTTTTATAAAGAATGGTGCTTATACACCAAAAGAGATGTTAATCAAGACACCAAAGACATAAAGCAAGCTTTGCAGCTATCTTTTCCTTGGGTGACAGGAGGGAGAAGGTCTGGGTGATGCTCTGGAATTTTCTGACATGAAACACAGAAGTAAAAGGATGTCTTTCTTTCTTTTGAAGAGAAACAAACCTGTGGTAGGCAGAATAATGGCCCCCAAAGTTATCCATGTTCTAATCCCTGAAATTGGAAAATATATCCCCTTACTTGTTGAAAGGGATTTTTATCAATGTGATTAGATTAATGATCTTGAGATAGGAAGATTACTCTGGATGATCCCGATAGGCCCAGTGTAAATCCCCAGGTACCCATCAATGAAAACAGAAAGCAGAAGACTCAGACTTGGAGCCTGGAGAGACTTGACTGCCCTCGGTTAGCCTCAGACACACAAGGAAGCTCAGCCCAAGGAAAATGGGATCCTCCTGAGCTCAAAAAGGCAAGGACACATCACCCCGAGGAATGCCACATCTTGATTTCAGACCAGCAAGACCTGCTCCAGACTTCTGACCTCCAGAACTGTAAGATAATAAATGTGTGGCTTTTAGCCACAAAATCTGTGACAATTTGTTCAGAAACATAGGAAATGATGCATACCACTGAAAATTAAAATCCAACCCCAGGAACCCCAGGAATGTGAGAGGTTTAACTAGCATTTTTAGATTATTGTTCTCAAACACTTTTTTTCATGCTGAAACTTTAAAATTTAGCATTTTAGAAGAGGTGCCAGGAACTGTGCTAAGGACAATCATAGTTTATCCAAGCTTAAAGTTACTCGCAGAGGGCTGGGCTTGTGGCTCAGTGGTAGAATGCTTGCCTAGCATGCTAGGTTCTATTCCCAGAACCAAGAGTGAGGGGGAGTTACTCATGTAAGTAAGTCTGCTTACTTACATGCCTTCATTCTTAGAAATCTAATTGACATTAAGTTTGGTCATTCTAATCTCTTGCTTTAGAAGGTAAGTTTTATATGTCTAAATCTAACACATTTTTTTTCTAACACATTTTTCTTAAACAGCTTCAAATGGTCACACAACATATCAAACATTGAAATGTTAAAAACCAATCTGCTGATGTGATTCAGCAATCTGTATACGGGGTAAAAATGGAAGTTCATAACCCTTTTGAATCAAATTGTGAAATATGATATATGCTATATCAAGAAAGATGTAATGTTTTGAACGACCAACAATTAAAAAAAAACCAATCTGCACAGGTATATAACAAATAGGTTAAATAATCTGTAACAAATAGATTTAATCTCAGACTCTTGACAAGAGTAACTATTTCAGATATGGAGGGAGATGAATTTTCATCCAAACTCTCACTAATAAAAACCGATAAATAAAAGTAAACTTTTTAAATAATAATAAAAAAAGATGTTGGCACATTTGTCTATACAAGTACTGACACATAATTTTAAATTTTCTTAAAGTGACATACAAATAATATAAGCTGGAGAAATTAGTTTTAATAGGGTATTTACTTAGCCTAATATGTACAATGTATTATGGCAACAATATAAAAACATTATTTGTGAGGTCCTTAACATTCTTTTTTTTGTGTGCTACATCTTTGAAACCCAGCATGGACTTAAGAGCACATCTCAGTTGGACCGCCATTCCCAATGCATGACCTGGGTGAGCAGGTCTGCACATTCTTGCTAAAGTTCTCAGTTCTGTAAGTCTATGTTAACAATTCTATATTCATGATTTAAACACACCAGTGTTACATTAGGGATTTACAGAGATCCTGGATGTCTTAAGGAAATCAAGGAATGGATCATTAGGGTATGGCTGTGGTTAAAACCTCTAATGAGTGGGACACCAATTTCATCACCTGCCTTGACATCCATTTATCATCAAGGACATTATAGTAGCCGAGTAACTGTCACCTTTTTAGTCTGGCCTCAGGCTGCAATAAATAACAAGCAATAGGATGAGCATTGGAAACATATTTTTAATTTGTATAATATTTGAATTTTTCCATCTCAGAAGAATGAGAAAGAAAATTTACCATGTAACTTTTAAGGGAGAAATCAAAAGCAGACGGATCTCCTGGGTATGGCCAGAACACAGAAATTAAAAAATAAATAAAATAAAAATAAAAATAAAACCCATAAAATGGAAACAAAAGGAAAGTAAACTAAGTCCTTTGGAAATAACATGCACTGTTAATTCAGTTTCAAGTATAACGGAAAACATTTCACATTAGCATTACCTGTCAATTTTGCTGAAAATCACAAAGGTCTACTTAGCACAACTTCAAAAACAGTGTATCAACCACAGTTTGAAAGAAATAACTAATTTCCCTTGGCATGAAATCAGAACCCAGGGTAATAGGCAAGAAATTACAGCACATTACTTGTGTCTGAGATCCTAATAGCCTTAACTGAAGCCCAATCTAATTCCAGATCTCATGGCCAGAAATCCATCTGAGAGAATCAATGAGAACATTTTCACCAAAACTCACTGGAAATATCAGTAACCGTTGCTGTGCTCTCTAAGTTGGGATCTAATGATCAACACTGTGTAAAGAGGTGAAGAACTGCCATTTCTTTATTTAGTAAACTTGGTAAATATCGTGAAAATTGTGAGGTGGCTGGGTGATAGTGAGCAGAAGGGTGGAAATCTTGGGTTCAACAATGGAATCAACCTCTGAAAGGTAAAAATAAAAAATTCTTAGTCATTAAAAGACTCTAGCAAAGAACTGCAAGATCAAGAATACTGGGGTTGAATGWCGTTACTTAGGGTGCTGTTTAAGATTTTTTATGAGACAAAAGACTGGATCGAAGTATATGAGAACAGCCCCTGGCAGTCTCTTTAGTGAACTACATGTATTTTCTTTCTACTTTGCATTAAGGGACATGTTTAATTTTAAAAGAGTGCTTTTTTAAGTTGCTAACCCAAGGATCTACTAGGAGAGTGACATCATAGTTTATGGTTCAAACAGCTATTCTGTGGGAACAGGGGGAATTATTATTAATAATTTGTTAAGACAACAGGTGTGAAGTGGGGCTGACCTGGATAAACCAGAACATGTGGCTGCTCTATCGAGGCGTTATCTTCTTATTTGTGTTACTATTTTGTCATGATTGGTAAAGTCTAGAGAATCAATAAAGCTATAAATACTTATAAAATCATTTTCTAAATTCTGTTTTAGTAAATTAATTAATTTAAACATATATATTTGCATGTATTGGATATATACAGCCATTCCTTAATCCGGGGAAGCCAAATCTAGAACATGAAGATCAAAAGGAGAAAAGGACAGCAGGGAAGCAGCTATTTCATGAAGAATAGCAACTCTACTCTAGAGCAGAGAGCTGGGGAGGTAGAAAGCTGGCAGCAAGAGGGGTGGATGTGGCAGTGTCACTCTGCTTACCTGAGTTTTCAAATGGCTACATTCTAAAATGCTGGAGAGTCTCACAAAAAATAAGATATGATAAAGAGTTGCTTTTTTTGTTTGGTAGCAATTTGATTAAACACTGGTTTACATGTAAATACTACTAATCTCAGACTTATTTTATAACTAGTTTTTCCAAAAAACTTTCAATAATGCTAATTTCTGTATAGAAAAGCACTTGGTTAAAAGATAGAGGGAAAAAAAAAGCACAATTAAAAAAAATTTTTTTTTAGTTATACACGGATACAATATCTTTGTTTTGTTTATTTATTTTCATGTGGTGCTGAGGATTGAACCCAGTGCCTCACATGTGCAAGGCAAGCGCTCTGCCACTGAGCCACAACCCCATCAGTGCAATTCTTAATCAAAACAATAAGACCACCTAAACTCCTTTTCGCTAGTTGCGCATGTTCTAATTTTATGGTCAACCCAAACGTACAAAAGAAGTGAAAAATTAAACTTGGTTCAGAAAAAGAAAAGCACTCATTAATTTCTCTCAGTGTTTAATCAAGTTCCTCAGTATTGCTGGAACTATATTGGGCTTCCAGTTGTTAAAAACTATTTTAAGCATGCTCTTAAAAACAAAAATATCTAGACTATTACTTCAGATAAACAGTGTGGTCAATAATCTTCACATATTTATTTTACATTCATATGCTTCCTGCCTCCAAACCACAGTTATTTTCCCACGTATTTGCTAAAAACTTCACAAAATATAAATGTAAACTATACAACAAAGAAATAAAACTCTATTGTGTGTAAATAACAATCATACATAGTTTTATTGGTTGATAGTTAATAGATTTCACTTTAAAAAATACTTACCAAGTTAAGGGCTGGAGAAAGTTCTGTATAGACATATTAATTTCTTTTTTGTTTTAATTGAAAATTGGAAGCTTAGAGTATAATTACATCTTTAACAAATAATTGTCATGGTCAAATTAAAACACTTTTAACATTGCTACATTCAAAGGAAGGGAATAATAATCATTAGAACAGAGTATACATTTATTTTAGTACTGATGGGGTCAGGAGGTACATACAACTGTATATATGTTATCAATTCCCAAAGCATGGTCAAATTTGGAGTAGGAAATAGAAGAAGAGGTAAACAGTAACTGATTTATCCTGGTTGTATTTGGCTTTTTCTCAAATCACCTTCTTAGATTTAATCACAGCCAAGAGCTATTTTTAAAATTCAACAGAGGTGACCAAATAAAAGTTAATTTAAAAACTGCTAATAGGAAAATTATTTTAATGAACATCTCAGTTTTTATGCAGAACATATTTAGAAAAGAACACATACACTGACTTAAACCCTGTTGCTTCTCTCATTCTTAGGTACAAAGCTAACTCACTGTATTTGTAATTGAAGTGACTCCATGTCCTGAAGCTGGCCCATCTGGGTATAACTCACAGAAAAAAAGGATGGGTTCACAGTGAATTCCAAAGTCACTACTCACTGTTTAAGCTTTGTGAAATGTATCAAAGTAGAATGAATAGCTCAACATTAAAACTTGCCCTATATATGCCATTTTGAAGTTGGAATTTAAAAAGCCGAATTGTTCTGATGGAATTCTTAATTTTAATTCTTACAGAAGCAGACTTTTTTTTTTTCCAGGCTTTCTCTTCCTTTAAACTAAGAAGACCTAGGTCGACTCTAAGGACTCTCAAGGACCCACATCTCACTCATCCTATCCTCTCTACTGCACTCTCCTTTCCAACTTATATTTAGAGATAATCTAACCCAAGGTGGGCATTTGAAATACCTTAATGAAGACTTGAAAAATGGTTCATGCTTTCTGAATACCTAATGTTTAAAATAAAACAAAATTTAAAAAGAAATTGAGCATACTTGATATTGAAATAGAGCTTACCTTAGAGCCACGCTCGTTAAAGATTATTTCTACATCTAGGATTTTGCCAAACTGCTGCAGAGACAAAAGCAAAAACATTTATTTATGGTCAGCCTTTTATCCACAGGTTTTACTTCCTTCTGAGAAAGAAATTGTTTTTTTCCTTCCTCTTTGAACCGGTATTTATTAATAACCATTTTTTAAAATTTACTGGTGGGTTGCAATACCAGTCTCTGTTTTTTTTTTTCTCTCTGAGCTGATGGCATCTCCCTGTCCCTTCTTCCTCAACTCCCTCGCTAAGTGCCACCCTTCTAAGCGCAGCAGCCACTGTATGAAGACACTACAGTGACGCCCTACTGATGCACTTCTACACATACAGATTTTTAACTACCCCTCTAATTTTTTAAATGTCTCAGTTTTAAGGAGTAAATCCTGCCTGGGCGTGTTGGGTGCATGTCTGTAATCCCAGTGACTGGAAGGCTGTGGCAGGAGGAATGGAAGTTCAAAAACAGCCTCAGCACCTTAGCAAGGCCCTAAGCAACCTAGTGAGACCCTGTCTCGAAATAAAAATAAATGAATGAATGAATTAAATAAAAAGGACTAAGGATGTAACCTTAAAAAGGGCTGATCGTGTGGCTCAGTGGTTCAGTGCCCCTGGGTTCAATCCCCAACACTAAAAAAAAGGAAAGGAAATCCCACTAAGTAGGATAAGCTATTGAAGGTTGTTTCCCCCACTTTTTGTGGTACTGGGATTGAACCCATAGGCCCTTTAACTCAGCTGCATCCCTAGTCCTTTTTATTTCATTTCATTTCATTCATTCATTTATTTTTATTTTGAGACAGGGTCTAAGTTGCTGAGGCTGGGCTTGGACTTGCTATCCACCTCCCTCAGCATGGATTGCAGGTAAGCACCACCATGCCTGGCTTCCTCCTCCCTTTAAAGAAGAAATTTATACAAGTAAACCATATTCATTGCATAAAAATTAGAAAATATAAATAAAAAGAAAGCAGGAAAACTGAAAAAAGATTATATGAATCCCACTATCTTAGTGTTTTAGTACATGGCCTTCTAAGCTTTTTTCAGGCACACAGATAGAAATAATGTATCAGATATATTCCACATATTTCTTTAAACTTAGCAATAGTCTATGAACAACTATCAAAATCAACAAATATATATATCTGTGTTATCATTCCTATAGGCTACATGCCATTCCATCATACATTTTTGACATTAAGGATGATTTCACTTATTTGCCACTTTAACTTTTCTGCCACAAACATCAAGAGTATTTTAGGTAAACTCTTGTTTAGTAATTATATAAATATCTTAACACCCTAAAACCAAATGGAACTAAAGACCCAAAGTCTATCTGGCCATTACTAGAAAATTACACAATGCACAACCTTATTCTAGGGGAGGCAGATGTAAGGGACAGAACTGTTTAGTTAGTACTTGGATGGGCTGAATTGAAGGCATGTGCAGGGAATCTCCAGGTTATTTTTTTGGCTTACACTTCCCTTAGAGTACTGGGCTTATGTCCCATTAACTTATTTCACTTGGATTCCAAGCCAGTCCTTTAAAAATGTGTGTGTGTGTATGTGTGGGGTAGGGGTGGGGAGCAAAACAGAGATTATGCTTTTCCACTGGACTGAATTACTATTATCTTTATCAAAAAACATATATTAAGAATCCAAGTTTTTAGGGAAGGGAAACATGAGAGGAATAGATGAATTCTAAATAGATGAATTCTAAAGAGGGGAGAGAGGGAAAGGGAGGAGGCAGGGGATTATCAAGGATGGTGGAATGTGATGGACATCATTATCCAAAGTACATGTATGAAGACATGAATTGGGTGTCAACTTACTTTATATACAGAGATATGAAAAATTGTGGTATATATGTGTAATAAGAATTGTAATGCATTCCGCTGTCATGTATTTAAAAAAATAAAATCAATTAAAAAAAAGAATCCAAGTTTTATAGAAGAAGACATCTAAGCCTGATTCTGGTTTCATCTTTGAACAGAAAATTAGAAAAATCAAGGAAAGAGAAAAATATTTCAGTTTAGATAACAGGGCATGTAATTTTTTTCTACACCTATCCTATAAAATGAAGTTTGGTGCTTTAGAGTTTGTTTTGTTTTACATTATGTACTGCATTCTTAGGACATCTTTCTAGAAGGAAATTGGCTTTCTTTTTATGATTAAGCAAAGTGGGGCTCAAAGAAGCTGTCAGGTATACAGAGCTAATAAAATGGTGCATGGAATCTCTGCTCTTCACCAATGCCACTGACTTTCTAAGTCACAGGTGTTAACCATGTGTGTGTGTGGGGAAGCAACAGGTGTTCCCTGTAAGGAAAAATTTCTTTTTCATTTTAACCTTATGGGAAAGGCATACTACATTTCAAGAAATTCCTAACTGACCTAGGCAGATCTTCAACGGACACTGTTTTTCTGACTCAAGAGAATACACATCTGACAGATGAGAACGTGCTCCCTTCTTACAGACTCCAAAGACTAAACGTCTCATCTGTGTTGGAAGGTTCCAAAGGGAACCCAATAATTCATGCTTTTGGGAAGTGTCTCCTTATTTGCTGTTCTTTCTACCTTTTGTTGCAGTCTTTTCTATCAAGATGGAAAACGGCCAGTTACTGTTTTCTGTGTAAAAGCTCTTTAAGGACTTCAAGAGCAGCATTAAAAAACCACCCTGGCCTTCTCTTCTGTAGGAGACAAACACAGGAAGACAGATGAAAGTGAAACAGCTTTGTTCCAGTGTCCTGTCACCACACAGTGGACACAAGATTACTGCAGGGTTTCTCCTTTTCTAATAAGGCACTAGGCAGCTATCCTAATGAAATTTTTAAAAAAACTATTGACTATCACTTAGGTCCTAGGTCAAGTTGAAAGTTTGATCAAATTAAAATAGGCAACAATACAAAAAAAGTCCAGACTCTTAAAACCCATTTACTTCCAACAACATATGATTTTTTAAAAATTTATTTTTACGTTTTAGGTGGAAACAATATCTTTATTTTACATTTATGTGGTGCTGAGGATTGAACTCAGTGCCTCGTGCTCGCTAGGTGAGCACTCTACCACTAAGCCCTATAACATGAATTTTTAAATTACACTTTGCTTTTGGAGATTTGGGGAGGAGGTCAACAGTTGAAGGGAATACATGAAAGGTAGCAGTATAACCCTCTACATCTTATTTTAGATAATGGTATTGATACTACTAAGTATAAATAAGGAAGTAAAAAACAAAAGATATTATTCCATTTAATTCACATCATTCTGCAAGGTAGAGATTACTATCACTAATTTTAGATATGAAATTCAAGTTCAAAGAGGTTACATGACTTTCCTAGGGTCATAATCAAACAGAACTTGATCCCAGGATCTTTGATGCCCAAATCTACATCTTTTCTACCTTAACAAACCACCCCTAAACCTATATTCTTTACACCATGATATTGCCAAGGCAGGGTAGCAAACAACAATAATACATTTCTGAACCACAGTCCTGGGGTTGAAAGCATGAGATGAGAGGAAGGCAATAATGTGCTGGGCTTACAGGGAAGGTAAAGAGCTAAGAATGTGACAGAAAAATGCCCAACAGTTCCCAAACTTATCCACACAATAGAAACACCTGGGGATATTGTAAAAAAAACTTGTAGGCCCAAGCTATACCCAAGCCAGTTAAATCCCAGTCTTTGGATGTGGGACACAGGCATCAATATTTTTTAAGCTTCTCAGGGGACTTCTAATGTGCAGGTAAGTTTAGGAATCACTGTGCTAAAACAACATGTATGTTTAGCTGGATTCAGTGGGGCACGCTTGTAGTCCCAGTTACTCAAGAGGACTGACTGAGACCAGCCTGGGAAACATAGTGAGACTGTCTCAAAAACAACAAAGCAAAAAACAAACAAAACAAAACAAAAAAACCCAAACCAAACCAAACAAACAAACAAAAAAACAAAGTGTATGTTTTCTCTTTTAGGTGAAACCAAGCATAATACAGAATGTTTATTAAGCTTCGTATGTGGGCAGGTGGCATCTCATCCTGGTTTCAGTACGGGAAGTCTCGTGGTCCAAGAAACACCTCATTCCCAGCCACCATTGCAGTCAGTCTACAGCAGACTGGGTGGCAGAAAAAGACAGATGACAGGGGCTGGGGATGTGGCTCAAGCAGTAATGCACTTGCCTGGCATGCGCGGGGTGCTGGGTTTGATCCTCAGCACCACATAAAAATAAAATAAAGATGTTGTGTCCACCGAAAACTGAAAAACAAATATTAAAAAAAAAAAAAATTCTCTTTCTCTCTCTTCTATCTTAAAAAAAAAAAAAAAAAAAAAAAAAAAGATAGATTACAATACTAACTTACAGGGCTGGGGCTGTAGCTCACTGACAGAGCACCCGCTAGCATGTGTAAGGCCCTGAGTTCAGTCCCTAGCACCACAGGACAAAAAAAAAAAAGAAAGAAAATACCGATTTACCTCAGGATCTTCCTCAATCTCTTGTAGTTTTATCCTAATATATTAATGACTAATAACATATCTGGTGGATTAAATTCTATTATAATTACAAAATCCTCAAAAGGACTTTAGAAACTTACCCCAAACATCTGCCGGAGGTCAGGGTCCCGGAAGCGGAAAGGAATATTTGAGACATGCAGTCGTTTAGGGGTAGATTTACTCTCTGAATTTTCACTACTCTGCGTCTGTGACTGCTGGCCGTCTGTCTGTGCTCCACCTTCTGTCTGCTAAAGAAAGAAGCAAATAACACTGAATGAAAAATAAATACAATTACTTCATAATTCTATGAAAAATAAAGTTCTTCTTTATCACTTCGTAGGTTTATTTATGAGCAAACATAATTTTCCCCTTCAAAGAGAGAGACAGAAAAAAAAAAAAGACACCAAAGGTATTATCGATGTTCAAAATGCTTTAGTCTATAAACAAAATTCGGATCTTCTGAATACTTACGGCACATTAACAGGAGTCACAGACACAGAAACACCAAGTGACCTGCCCCCCATCACATGGAGATATATTAGGATAACTGGTCGTGTAAAAATAGTACCGTTATTCTTAGATTCTTATAGAGCTTTGTATTTCTGAGACTTTTCTATTTTGAAAACAAAGAGTCCATTGTACTTAGTTGTAGAGGTTACTCCACCTTTGGTCTTTCATCTCAGGCTCTCAAGGAAATAAAAGGAGGAAACATTTTTATATTACATTCAGTCAATCCTAGAATACACAACCAGTTAGTTGACAAAGTATTATCACAACATTATAAAGAGGAGAACCTAGTGATGATAGTCAATTTGCCTAAAAATTGAAGCAGCTTCTTATTCTGAAATAAATGTGTACTTTCCTCCCTAATTTATGCAATCCAGGGGCCACCTCCTCCTTCACTAGCCCTGAACAAAGTTGTATTTAGTGAATCCAATTACTGAAAAAGACTTTTAAGGGACTCTGACTAACCTATTATCCAACATATTAATGCCAAATTTGTACATATCCATAGTGGAAGAGTGTGAGTAAGTGTGGGTACACATTTTTAATCACAACTCTTTTGCAACACCTCAGGCACACATTATCCATTTCTTCCCCCACCAATTCCTCAGAAAGGTGGCTATACTGAGAAACATTTCTGACAAATGTCTAACAAGTGTGACACATTCTAGGCATGCAAAGAGACATTTATTTTGAAGTATTCATCTGGCACTATAAGAATCTATGTTTCACTATTTCCCTATGAAATATATGCCAAACTGAATGGCTTGTTGAGCTGATTAACCAACATATTCCTAAAAACAAGAGTGGACCTGCTTATTCTTATTATCTTAATTAAGACAGAACTGAGTCTCTGGCAGATTCTTCTGGTAGCACAGCATGAATCTCCTCCTTCTGACCCAATGTTCAGGCTAGAAGAAACTGTGAATCAAAGATACTTTTGTCTCAGAGATGTTAACAACCATTYTGTAATGAAGTTTGAAATTTTAAAATAAAAAGGAAAATTAAAAATAAACTCTAAATGAATATTAGCTTTTCAAGAATCACTCTAAGAGATGGCAGCTTGTTATCTCATCCCATTCAGGCCTTCCAGATGGCTTAAATGTGATATGATTCATATGATTTGAAAATAGCAGAAAAGGGGAGAGTTATGAAGCAATATTCCATGAAGTATAAGGTTTTCAGTCATCCATCGAAACACAATGTAGACTAAACAAAACAAATTCTATTCAGAGATGAAGCTTACTACAGCAGCACCAAGGACCCCAACATGCAGTCAAAGCAACAGGCATCAATTGCAACTAATGCTCACTCAAGCGCTTTCAAACTTGCCTCTTATATTTCACAGCTGGATCACATAAAACTCTCTTCAAACTTTAAAAGCACCAGATTTGATCTGTGGGAGGACAATGTATCACTTTGAGAAAAGTTAAAAAGATTCTACAAAGCTCCAAACTATAGTTGTAGATGGACACAATATCTTTTATTTATTTTTATGTGGTGCTGAAGATTGAACCTAGTGCCCCACACGTGCTAGGCAAGCGCTCTACCACTGAGTCACAACCCCAGCCTAAACTACAGTTTTCTATATATGTATATTTCATCAGTAACCTGCCATGGTGTGTGTGAAGTGGCAGAATCTAAAAAAACTAATGACTACTTTGACATACATATACTGACTGAGGTCCTTAATGGTTACTTTTGAACATTCTTTACTGTCCTGAACATACAATTTAAGAAGGTTAGAAGTCAGACTGATAAAATTTCCAGTTTGTAATGAATACCTACCTACCTAAACAATTTTTAAAAAAAAAACATGGAATGCTTCACAAATTGCGTGTCATCCTTGTGCTGGGGCCATGCTAATCTTCTCTGTATCGTTCCCATTTTAGTATATGTGCTGCCGAAGCGAGCACTACCTATACTTTTTTAAAATTACGAAATCATAATTCTAGGAAATGTGGCAAGTGGAAAACATGAACTATCATTCCCCAAATTCTCAAGCCTTCTGATCTAATGAAACTTTTTTTTTTTCAGTTTAAATATCTTAAGTTTATTTTATTCACATTTTCTTAACCAGGCAGCACTCAAAACCAAAATTAATTCAAAGAATTTCTGGGCTCAAAGTGGTCAATTATTTATAGGCAGAAAACATAAATAACGTGTAGACAAAGATTAATTGGTTACAGCTCACAGTGGGTTTTTTTGCCTTATTTTAATCTGCTGGCCACCCATGATTGATACAAGCTCAGCTTCTGTGCAATCACAGTAAACTCAGCTATTTGTTACAAGAGTATACTCCTAAGTTAGGCTTCTGCTTGGTTTACATACTAAGTTAGGTTGTAGGTTGTTACCTAAGACTAATGCAACTTTAAAATGGAAGGTTAAAACAGATAAAAATGAACAAATCATCAGCGAATCTGTACATTTTCACACAGGAAGTATAACCAAAATTAGATCAAGAAATGATTGGCACTCCAGGAGAACCCCAAGGGCCCACCTTAGATCTTGGTCTTAACGCCTAGCTCTACAGATTAGTTTTGTTGTTTTTCAATTTAAAAAAACAATAAAAATAAAAGGGATCATACATATGTACTCTTTTATTTGGCTTCTTTCACACACTGTACTTATGAAACACACATATTATTGTAATTTTTCATTCACATTTTGTTGTATAAACATACAGAATTTATTTGAGCTGCTTTCAGTTCTGGCTATTAAGAAAAACATTCCTGGGCTGGGGCTGTAGCTCAGTGGTAGAGCACCTGCCTAGCACAGTGAGGCACTGGGTTCTATCCTTAGTACCACATAAAAATAAACAAATAAAATAAAGGCATTCTGTCCGTCCATAAATACAAACACAAACAAACAAAAATTCTTGCTTACCTGTCTTTTGTACACACAAACATGCATTTGCATAGGGTATATGTGCATCCAGGAGAGGATTTGCTGGGTCAAGGATAGGTATATGCTCAACTTTAATGACACTGCTACTTTTCCAAAGTGGCTGTGTTATGTCATACTCCCAAAAACTCTTAGAGTTTTAGTTGCTCTTAGTTTTGTTATTTCATAGTAGCATTATATTGTAGTGTTTATTTGCATACCTTTTCATGTTTCTTGGACATTTCGATATTCCTCTTTTGTTAGATGTCTGCAAATTCTTTGCCCATTTTCTATTAGGATGACTCTTTTTGCTTGTGATTTGTAGGTGTTTTGTATAATCCCAATGACTCCCCTTACCTCCTTCTATAATTAATTAATTAATTAGAGGTGCTAAGGATCGAACCCAGAACCTCATGCATGGTAGGCAAGTGCTCTTCTACTAAGCTACACCCCTGGCCCCAGGATAAGAGCCCTTTGACAGATGCCTAATTATCTGTTTATACTCTTGTAGTTCCACCTTCAGCTTTTTCACATAACTATTTTAACTTGCTGGTTACCACCTAAAACTCCTCTACCACCAAAACGGCCATATGAATGTTCATTTTTGAACACACACTATTATCTTTTCAGTCTGCTTCCTCAAATATCCCCACATAACACATTCTTTTTTTTTTTTTTTTTTTTTTGCCATGTTGTAACAGAGTCTTTATTGAAAAGTCAGTGAAGTACAGCAAGGTATTCTTTTTACCACCATTCCTTCCTGTTCAGAACCTAGATCATGTGCCTTTAATCTCCTTATATCTAGAACAGTCACTTAGTCTTTATCTTGACTTTCATGACCTTGATGTTTTTGTAGTTTACGGGTAGCTTTAGTCAGCTTTTTCACTGCTGTGACTGAAAGACCTGATGAGAACAATTTTAGAGAGAAAGAGTTTATTGGGGGGCTCAGGGTTTCAGAGGTCTCAGTACATAGAAAGCTGGCTCCATTCCTCAGGGTTTGAGGTGAGGCAGAACATTGTGGCCTTTTTCCTTTCTGTATTTTTAATACCTTTCTTCCACTGCAAGAACTCTTGTTCTTATTGTCCTCAATTTAGTGGCTTATTTGTCATACCTTTTTTTTTTATATTGACATTTCCAATTAAAATTTAATTGCAGAATTTTTACCTAACTTCTTTGATTTTAGTTAGTTTTTTTTTTTTATTGTTGGTCGTTCAAAACATTACATAGTTCTTAATACATCATATGACCCCTTTGATATAAGGGGAGTAAACAAGGACAGGGTAGGGACGAAAGTTTGAGAAGAAGATTTACATTAAACAGGGATGAGGGGTGGGAGGGAAAGGGAGGGAGAAGGGAAATCGCATGGAAATGGAAGGCGATCCTCAGGGTTATACAAAATGACATATAAGAGGAAAGGAGGGGTAAGACAAGATAATACAAATSGAAGAAATGATTTACAGTAGAAGGGGTAGAGAGAGAAAAGGGGAGGGGAGGGGAGGGGRGGGGGGATAGTAGAGAATAGGACAGACAGCAGAATACATCAGATACTAGAAAGGCAATTTGTCAATCAATGGAAGGGTAACTGATGTGATACAGCAATCTGTATACGGGGTAAAATTGGGAGTTCATAACCCACATAACACATTCTTGATCTCATTGGTACAAACATGCTCTCCACTTCCCCATCTCTGACTCCTCCCTCACCCATTCTTTCCTTTCCTTTCTATTCAGACTTCAGGACCTATCATTTCGATTTCGATCTTGTTGGTTGAATCTGCCTGGAAAAACCACAACCTTGAACGAATCCCACCATCAATTCTAAGCTTAAGCATGGGCAGGTAACTTGCTGGTGGAAAGCCAT